CACACACACACACACACACACACACATATATATATATATGCATCAACATATTGCATTGTATATTATCGCACCTTGTAAAATAATCATTTCGATTATAAAATGCGAAACTATATCATTTGAGCGCTACATATAGAATTCGCGCGGGCATTGCCTCGTCTCGATCGATGGCTACGCGCTCACTGCGTGCCCTGTAACATTTAGCGAGCGCGGGAAAAAGTCGCTCTTCCCAGCACGACGCAGCGAGAATTCGGCCGCTCTGTCTCTCGTAGACATGCATGTTCATCAGGGGCGGTACACAACCGCGCAGCACAGCGCAAGAGCGCGCGCGCGACAAAATCGAATATAAAATGTACGATTTCGCCTTTCTTGAAATGAGTTTTTTCTTGATCGACGTGACGCAAGTAAGGAGCTGTTAGCTTCGTATTTGTCTAAACAACGTTCATAATCAAATCGTCTAGGACGAAATAGCAAATCCTTCGGGTGTTGCACTATTGCTCGTCGGCTCTACGAGGATCTGCCCCTGACGGTTACTGTTCGTTACAGTAAGTGCTCCGCATTACCGCAAGGTAATACGTGTAATGGCCTATGTGGCCGCGCTGTTTCCTTTGTCGTGACCACGCTTGTTTGAAACCATGCGCTCGCAGATCTGGCGAGATGGCCGGTTGGTGCGTGCGCAGGCCTGCGGGGATGCTGCGCACGACGCAGGCGTGTGCACATCCTCACAATTGATCTGCGTTCGACTGCCGCTACGCGTTACGCTGATGGTTCGACGATGACATAGAAACAGGACAATGCAGAAAGAACACACGAGAGAACGACGGGACGTAACGCGCCATGTTTAATTGATGACGTGACTAATACGTTCGCTCACGTTGTGGCGCATGCAGTGTGCGCGCGCATACGCTCCATACTTTGTATGCAGCAGTAGGACTATACGCAGAATGCATGCTCTGTGACGTTGTGCGTGTTGGCATGCGTGAGTCCGTTTGCGTGTACGTGTCCGTGTACGTGTTAGACAGACAGAGAGACAGACAGACAGACAGACAGACCAAAAGAGTGAGTGAGCAAAGAAAACAGTTAACTAGAGGGATAGATCGATTGAAAGAGAGAGAGCGCGCGAAAGTGCGCGCGTGAAATGGAATGTAAGAGAGAGAACGCGCACAAAAACGAGCGTAGTAGAGATCCAAGCATGATGGGCCGGATATAAAAAATAGGAGGAAAGAACGAGCGAACGCCACCGGGTCCGTCGCTCCGAGCCTAGGCAAACACATGCGCGCGCATGCGCGATGAGAGCACACCTGCGATCGCAGGCGACGTGCTGTTGTCGCTAGCGTTGTCGTAATTGCTGAAGTTCGTCACGCCGCCTCGTGTGCGAACCTCTGGGTCGAAGATGAAATTCACGCAGCGTCCGCGAGCTTGCTGCAGACCGAGTCGCTCACGAACTGTCCCTATGATATGGAGAAAAGAACCACACACTTTTTGTTACGATCGAGTTAGAGTCGCGCGTCGCCTACGCTTTATGTGTGTAAGCTCTATACGCAACGCGCAATAACCTGAACGCCGCTGGGTGGATTTCACGACCCCCTCGCCCTCTGATAAGCGGTCTTTACACGCAATAGCTGCTGACCATGCGCGGCATGCATGTGTATAATGTGATGTGCGCGGGGCTGCAGCGAGGAACAGCACTGTGTCATGTTAGCCGTTCATTTGTCACCCCTCACGCCATTCCAGCGTCATTAAACGGTGACGCATTATAATTAGTCTCGCGTGATGCTGATAGGCTTTAAGCGGCTTTATCGTCGCTATTGTCTGTTCAAACACGATTTCGGGCGTGTTTACTTTGCGGCGACGTTTTACGATCAAATTTACAATCCGGCCTAAGTAGTTCGCGTATTATATAGACAATGAAATAAATATTGAGTGCCTATTAAAACCGACTCAGGTTGGCGAAAGACGCTCGCGAGCGTTTACACACACTCTCTAACAGGTGCATGTTTGTAACCATACTAATAATATTATAATATCTGCACACAATTTATCTACAGTGAGTCATTGTGAAACACACAGGGAGATGGACACGTTGGATATTCGTGTGGTAATACCGCGTCCGCATTCCGAGACAGACTTGTTGTTGCGTAATATTGTAATTTCTCCATTAACCACTCTACCCAATGTTATGATTTCTACATTGATCACACTAATTATTTGTTTAGTATCTAGCCCACTTTATTTCGTTAGTGTAATAACAATAAAATTCGGAAGACGAATAATACGTGCGTTCTTCGCTGCGTGGTTGGACTCGATACAATAATATAAAATACAGTCGTTAGAATAGACGTTGTCTGATAAACTAAGATCACGGTTGTGTTCATAACGAGTGATCCGAGTTTATGCCAAGCTAAAAAGTATCGGGTGCGATACTACAGCAATAAGCCACGGGCTGGTCTTAAGAACCACACATACAGTATATGTTAGATTTTAAAGTTATTCGGTCTGGCCCCCTGTTGTCTATAACGGTACAGAGCAGGCCTGGGGCGGCTTTAAAGTGCAGATACAAACCAACATGTTCTGCTTGCATCTATGACAAATACGACATACGCATATACGCTCTCCTATGACACTCCGAGCAGAACAGGTTGTACAAACTGTGCTGCCACACGTAGATTCGGTTTATTGTTTGATGTTATTAAAACCTGTAAGGTTAGTGAAGAACATTGCTTAAAGATAACCACATTGCTGTATGTGATATTATCCTTCCGTTTGCTACATTGTTCTAGAATCTCCTGGCAGTATTTGCGCACACGCAAAAAACCAACTGCTTACTTACTATACCCTCACACTCGCATGCACACGCGCATACACCACGCACACCCGCACGCACGTCCCATACACACACACACACACACACACACACACACACACACACACACACACACACACACACACACACACACACACA